GGTCTGGGCATTTCCCTCCAGCCTGGGTGAGGCTCCGGTGTTTGGAGCAAGGGCTGCTTTGGCTGCTCCTGGCAGGGCTCACCCAGCTGGCTGACTCAGGAAGGCTCAGCAGAAAGACTAAGGTTTTTAGGGAGTGCAGTTACTGGTGTTTAGCAACTGTGAGTCGTATTTGCTTTCTGTCTGCCAGAGTCATACCTGTGTGAGCGCAGTAACGTCAGTGCCTGGGTGCTGCAGTCAGTGGCCTATAAATGCCACCCCGAAAGCATGAGCCATGCCTCCTGTGTAGGACTGAAAGCCGTGTCTGGGACTCCAGGGAGGGAAGGGGAGAGCACGTAATACCTGGGACATTTTATAAGGTGTGGTGCTGACTCAGGCTGGCTACAGCCAAATCTTAGGGTTTTCCAGACCAATAAACAGAATTAACTAGTAATAACAACAAACCTCCATGACTTAGACATCCACAGCACAAAGTGGCCTCTGCCATACCGTGTAAGGTCACCGAGCACAAACCTAACACCCCGTCTCAGGAGGAGGATACAGCTTGCAGCTGTAGGGCTTGGGAGCCACTGCAGTTAGCTGCTTACACAGTAACGAACGAGGAGAGAATATGTCAGCAGACTGATAAACATGTGCCCTGTGGCTTTGGGTAGCCTTACCTCTATCTGGAGATCTGCCTTGGTTCTCAGCAAGTAGTTATCAAGCTCAGTCATGAAAAGATTGACATCAATTAATAAATTGGTTGCATTAAAACTAAGCCTGCTTACCACTAGCACTGATACATGAGATTACTAGATGCTATTACAAAATCAGTTCCTCCTACAAGAGGCACAGTGCAGAGGGCAAGGGTTGCAGCTGGAAGTGTCAGTGGTGCCGCAGGGTGTGAGGAGAGGATGGGGGCTGCCCCCGCGCTTGGCCGTGCTTGGTATTGAATACTGCAGCCACTCTTGCCTCCCCACAGTCTGGTGCTCTTTTGATGCAAAGACCTGGCTTTCCTTTGAGCTGGATTTATAGAGAATGGCGGAAGTTGGGACAAGTTCCTTGCACCTTCTTTGCCACTCGCATGGCTGTAGAGAGAAGGCACCACCAGGAAAGGCAAAAGGGGGTTTGGTTTTTTTAGTGACAAACATCACCAATCTGAATGATTAAAAAAGTGCTATCCAAGTGACAAATTTGTTAAAAGCTAATTCTCTTCTTTAATATGTAACACAGCCGTTTATTCCCATCATCAGTAGAAACCTTATAGAAGGTATAATTATAGGTAATTAACTTTTCTCTTTTTTTTTTTTTTTTTAAACCAAATACCTAAAAACTTGTGATCTCCGAAAAAACAAGCTGTGTTAAAAGGGGAGAGCTGAACGTGGAGTCAAAATCATAGTCTATTCTTGCTAATGAATGTGCTCCACAGAAAATGCACCCTGGGTCTTGCTTCACTTGAAAAAGAGCAGAGGCTCTGAGAAGAAATATTCAGAATATTATGAACTTTACTGTTATATAGTGAATATAACTGTATGGACTGTTTCATAGTTGTAGTTACAACACTGAGGTGCTTGAGAAGTCAACATGGTTAAATTTCTTGGTGCTGTAGAACACCATTACTGGTGAGTCTGTGCTCTCCTCATCCTCATAAGGGAAGGGCTGAAGGTCCAGTGCAAGGGAACTTGTCTGAAGGTAGTGTTGATTCATGTAAGACATTTTAAAAACAGTAGGATTATAGCTGTAAAAATTAAATAACACTCTCAAATTCTTCATCTTCCCATCACTGTAGGGACAAAAATCCTTTAATTTTTTTAATGGTATGGACTTACTTAGACTGTACCTGAAAGGGAATATTTTAAGGGAATTGACAATAGCTCCTGGAGAGAGAAAAGCTGCACGGTCTCCCTGGCCCAGCTGGGGAACAGGTGTTAGGGCTATAGAGTTGCCTCTGGATCCAAATGGTTTTTTCACTGATGTGATAATAAAACCTGTGCAAAGAAACAGGTGAAAATAAATGCTGCATTTTCAACGCAGGTGGTTTTGTGACCAAAATTAACGACGACACAAAGACAAAGAATGAAAGTTTGCAATATTGGGGATGCTTAGCTTCATGGGAAAAAATAAATGTATGTCTGAATTATAGAGTCACAGAATGGTTTGGGTTGGAAGGGATCTTAAAGATCATCTAGTTCCAACCTCCCTGCCACTGGACCAGGATTACTCAAAGCTTCATCCAATCTGGTCCGATCCTTTGAGTTATGAGGTCTGCTAAGATTTCAGTTACAGAGATCAAATGAGTGCTTATTGTAATGGTATTTCTAGGCTGTGAGATACATAATACGGCTAAAACTCTAATATAATTTAACACAGTAAATTTACAACGTTAAATAAACCTCATCTTGTCTTCAGATAGCCATTGTCTTCACATTTCCCCGTCTCATCATGTGTCCTTCCTCACTCAGTTAAATCCAATTGAGACAAGACGGTTTTCAAGACACAGATGTCTTTTACATGTGTGGGCACACGTATGTACCATACCCACCAACAGCTCTGCATGCAGCAAGCTCCAGAAGTCTTGCTGCTTCTTTGGCAGTGTGTTGAATGCAATGTGCTCAAACTCATGCCCTGGGGATCCATGACTGGGCAGCTTGCTACCTGCAGTGTGTCACCCTGCTCTGCTCTGAGAACCTGCTGCCCCTGTTTCCAGCATATGCTGGGATGTGGCAACGATCAGAAGCATCTACTGCTGTTGCCGGAGGAAGAAAAAGGGCTCTGGTAGGCAGTCATGGACAGCAGCCTTTGAAATCTCCCTGCTACGAGTTGTTGGAGTTCCCCTGCAGGCAAGAGGCTCTTAAAGTTTGATTTAGAAAAGATTATTTATCACTCTACAGTTAAATGTCTGTATGTTTTTTCACTGCAAAGGAATTTGTGTTATATTTCTAAGTCTTGTCTGTAACAAAGAGTCACCTGAAGTGATCCTCAGCTCACAGAATGCTGCACCTCGACCTGAAGAGGAGTTTCAGTTGATTTAAGTTGCCCTTGCAAGCCTCGGAGCCCACAGGCAGCTGATTCTGGGCTGGTTTGTGGGTTAGACAGGATGCAGCGGTGGCACAAACAATAGGGTCATTGCCTGGGACTCCAGTTTGGGGATGAAGAGGGATTCTCAAAGTTTCTCCTTTGCACGTCCTCAAATAGGAAAGAACAGATTGTGAAAAAGGAGTAAAAGTCAGCTGGAACATTAACAAAACCCCAGTAAACGGTAGTATTATCTCTTTATTGTAGATACACCATGACTGTGAGTAGGCTGTGTTCTTACTGCAATTACTGCATTTTTAAAATGACATGTTAGTAGCAAAAGTAACACTTAAAAGTAAAGTTTAGTGTAGATAAAGACCAAACCACTGTTCCTACTCCTACTTACCCTGTGGAAAAAGCCATTGAAAGTTACAGCTATGCCAATAACTGAACTCATAGTACAATGAAATTCTGCATAGTAGTATTTAAGCACGGACAGTGTGTGATCATTTCACACACTGAGCCTGATGTAAGGATACTTTTTCAGCATTAGGAAACCTATTGCTTAATCAATGTTTCATGGCAGTTTGCATATGTGAAGCACTATATAAATGCCCAGTATGATTCAGTTGTCAGTATCTGAACATAAATTACATTTCACACAGGCTTTGGGATAAGAAATTCCATAACATTTGGCAAAATGGCTTATGCATTCCCAGTAATTTTACATAAAATCTATTCATAGTGTCCATTGACTGGAAACAATATATATGATTCTTTTAGTTGAACTAGTTAATTCAGCAGATAACCACTGCTGCTTCATAGTTCATGGATGAGAATTTAAGAGAGCAGCTGAGGCATACATTTGAATTTGATTAATGACAAAGGAACCATTTCAGAGGACAGAGGACACACTGTCCACTTAGCTCATAGTACAAAACAAAAAGTCAAAGCGACCACTTTCAGTTGAATAGTAAAACAAGAGCTGGTCCTGCCCTGCCCCGAGCACAGCCAGTCTTCTGTGGAATGAAGGCACAAGGAGGTGTGATAGGTGCTTGAACAGCCCTACCAAATTCAAACTGCTGACAGTAATTTTTCTGACATTCAGTCAAAGTGAGGCACAAAGTTGAGGTTCTGGTTTTGTTTTTCTTTCCTACTTTTGGTGATACCAGAGTTGTTAGGGCCTAATGCTGCGCTCTTTGCGCATGCAAAATAAAAGTAGATAAATGGCTGAGAATAGCAAGTTTTCCCAGTGCTGTGTCAAATACCTGGATGAGGCTTTAGTTTGGAGAGAATATTGTCCTGGAAAGGTAGGGAGGCTACCAAAGCGCTGTGCCGTTCCTGGTGCCGGCTGGGACGAGCTGGGACAAGCTGGGGTGTCTCCGTCCAGCTCTGCCTCGTGCTGCCTGGACTCCACTTAGAGAACTGAAGGCAGCGCAGAAACCTGCTGCCGGCAGAGCCAGCCCAGAGAGGACAGCGGCCGGAATAGAGCCAGAACTGCAGCCACCCAACAAAAGCACCTGCAAAACGCCTGTGAAGGGAAGAGATGGGGAAACTGCCATGGAGGGGCATTATGGAGTATAGCCTTAGCACAGCAATCACCAACGAAAAAAACAGGTTATTGTGATAAAATAATTGCCTAGTAGTGTCTAAAACTGATTCATCCAGAGATTTCTAACAGCAGAAAATTTCTTTCTGCTGTTATTTTATGTAATAGTGTTAGCATTCACTCAAATAATGAAATACTTTAAATTGCCTATTTTTTCTCTGCACTGTCTCTCAGGAGACTCGGTCGCAATGCTCTGGGATGTTTGCTCATCAGAAAATGATAGTTTGAACTCAAGGAGGAAATTATTGCAATGCACAGAGTAACAGAATGGGCTCTCCTTGTCCATTGTTTTGGAGATTTCACTCAGAGAGCTGTAAAACCAGACCCAAGAACTCCTGGTACTAGTTATTTCCTGAATAATGTATTTTCTCTTTTGCTTTCCTGTTTTGTGCTTCTTCAGGGCAGACCTCCTGTAGATCTCTCAAAGCTACAAGGAAGTCCGGTCCGAAACCACTGCTGGAGTGAAACCCTAATCTCAGCACCAATTTGCCTGAAGAGATTTCAAAGTAAGAACCCAGTCTCATGGAGGACCAACAGCTTAAACTCTTTATGCTTTTCTTACATCTTCTATCTGAGCAAGAGAGGTCTGAGACTTGTAAGACTTCTTTCCGCTATCAGTACATCTGCAGAGATAATGAGAGTGTATTACCAACACACTATGCCTTTCCTGAATGTTTTTATTAAATACAAAATACTTTAAATGCTCCTGGTGGAGCTGAATGACTCACAGAACTGGTAATGGGATTAGATCATTGGTTCAAGACTAGTTCAGGACCAATATCCTGTAATCTGATATATGTGGCTAAACCCTGTTTATGGCAGTAGGGTTCGGTGGAGAGATCCTGCCTTTCTCCTGCAGATCTCAATGCAGGGGGTAGAAGAACACAGGGTAATAAGCATTGGCATTTAATCAGTGGGTTTGCTCATGTTCTTGTTTCTGTTCCCAGTTCGTGTTCTCATTGCTGGGTCACATCATTAAATAAATAGAAGCTTTTAAGTAACTGCACATGGAAGAAAGCGAGCTGTTTTGTTCCTGCAGTGCCTCTAGCCCAGCGGGAGCCCCACAGGGATTCCAGCTCTGGCCAGCAGTGCCTGGAGCTACCGAAACCTGCTCTTTAGACATGGAAGAGGGGACATGTCTCTGCTGAATGGTGAGTTGTCAGACCATGCAGGAGGGTCCTGCATCTGCATAGCCTCACAAATCAGCCTGGGTCATGCTGATTTGCGATTAAAGACTTTCAAATTTTATTCATCCACAGTCCAGATATGAGACCTGTGTCATGATTGAACTGTGGTTTTCTGGAACTTGTCCATACTGTTCTTTAGTGCTAACTTTAGTGCTAATATCTTCAACATGCTGAGAGATTTTCAGGCCTTCTGTCTCTGAACAGTAGGTATAGTCATCCTGTCTCATTCTCTTACAGGATTTTTATTACTTTTGATACAGAAGGATACCATCTTTTTCTTCTCATTTAGTGCAAGAAAGCCTTGCTGTGGCCAAGAGGGAAAGCTTTCAAATTGCCTGAAGCTCATAAATTTCAGAAGATAAAAGTTCATATCCACATTGGCCGAGATCAAGATATTCTAATTGTATTTTGTAAGAGAATTGGTGTTGTCACTATTTCTTTATTTTGAAGAGATTATGGAAGGAGAATGTAAAACCTGGGCCTTCACAGTTTGTCACCACTTTCATGTCATCTTTGGAAACAAGAAGTGCCCTCACTTTATCTTCCTGTCCAGCACGTAACCGCCATTATATCCATATTCTTTCTGCTCTAGCACTTCTTTTTTTCCCCATCATGCATATTTTAAGACAACCTAGGGATTTAAAAAATATTCTAGCTTATTTGATATCAGTGTCTAGGACCCACAGTAGTATCAGAATGCCACCAGTAGTTACAGCATGCCATCAATAGGTACAGAGTGCCATCCCTGCAGTGTGGGAGAGGGACAGCACTCACTGAAGTTCTTCTAGACACAGCCTTGGATGGGGGTAAAATTCCTGACCCACAAACTGTCTTCTCTTCCTGGGCCAGCTACAAGAGGTTTGGGGATTTTAAGAGGCTATGGAGAATTAAATTGCGTTTGTCTTCAATTAGTTATTTCATGAGATTTCTGAAATCTCCTAAACCTACTTGCGAGTGGTCTTTCGGGTGGAAAGGAAGGAGGCGAAGAGGAATAAAGCACCATTATTTCTGCCATCCCATGAACAATCCTAGGAATAACTGAGTTTAAGGAATTTATATATATGCACATATATATGCATATAAAAATATATACCTGGGTATTATATATTTATATATGCACATATTAAATATATATGTAAATATACAAGATATTATATTTTCTATATGTCATACATATTATATATAGTTCTATTTTTAGTAGTATATATATTCCAGATTAAAAATACATATAAAATTCTGTACTCTCTATGCCTTTTGCTATTCTGTTTCTGGGAATTACAGGCATCATCCTCATCTCCCCCATTCGCCAGGACTGCTGTGACCTGAACACACCACCACCATTTCTGCCCACAGCCAGGTCTGTCTATCTCTTCCCACAAGTCCCCTTTTTCTTTCTTTCCTAGGTTTTCTGTTCCTGATAAAATTGTTATTCTAGTTTCCAGCTCTTCCTAAATGACTTGCAGAAGGCAGTGACAGGTTGCAATTTTAAATCCACTTAGCTATTTTTTTTCATGAATAATCCTGTTTGACAGGCTTTTCTCCCCTCCCTCCTTGTCATTAAGCACGGCTGCAGTTCAGGCTGAGCGAAGAGCAGGCTAATTGTTTTGGTTAAGGACACAAATGAGAGAGAGATATTTTCAGCTACTGTAGCCAAAGCAGAAACACAGAGCTGGTGTCCAAAATCTAGCTGAAAAGTAGTTTGATTTGTTACATACCATGAACATCTATTAATTAATTTTTGGATTGACATTTGAATATTGTTTCACTGCTGGTAAAACAGAATATGGACGCCTTTAAACTGTTTATATTTAAGGCCCAGCAATTAGAACAAATGCAGATTAAATCACTTGCTCTGTGCAAAGTCGTAATTTTATTCATATAGTTCTTAACTGTGATTGTGAATATATTTTTTGTTAATGCTTATGTTAATGTTTTCCAATAGCATAAATTACGCAATCTAATAATCTTAAATTATATTCCCTCCTAAAGTGAATAAGAGTCTAAACTAAGACGAGTGATTAGAAAATGAGCACAGATCTCTATCTAACCTATCCTACTGTACGTTGAGCTGTGCAGAGGCAAGGGGCAAAGCGCTGGCTCCAGGGCTCTGGCCACCCCTTTCCAGCTGGACTTGCTCAACACTTCACTCAAGAGCACAACTGGCCTGTCTATGCAAATGTCTGCATTTATCACACAAAAATGCTTTCTATGGCTTAGTTAACTTGATGCATCAGAGACAAGCCAGGAGAGAGTGAGGAATGCATGGCAGAGAAGAGGCAACATGCTCAGCCCACTTGCTGTGTGTCTGACGCCTTGTGACCTGGTGCCACTGGGTGCCAAAATCAATGGCTTGGGATTCAGGACAGGAAAACCTTCCCCGTCACCTAAAGTATGCCAGGATGTTACTGGGCTGATGCAAGCATGGGCTCACTAGGTATTTGTGTGGGCTGTGGATCTCATACAAGTCTCTCTGTATTTCCACTGATGTTGTAGGTGGCTGTAGTGTGTAGTATTATATATGTAGTATATATAAAACGTACACTGAATGGAAAGAAAAGGTGCCTAGATAAACCTAGTCTGTTCATGTGGAGCATTATTCCATATGTGCTTAGAGAGATACATGCACTCTGTTAGCTAGCAACCAGACATCAAATCATGAACAGGCAGCAGTGGAGGATGACCAAAGGAGCTACAAGCCACCTGAGCATACCATCCATTGCTTGGGGACCACTGAAGGATACATCTTTGCTAAGCTGGTGAAGACAGACCCAAACTTACTCTGCCTGTGCTCTGAGCTGGTAGGACACATCCAATCCAGAAGCCAAATGTTTGCACTGGAGGTGTTGCACCAAAGCAATACCCCTTTCTTAGCATGGTGCAAGCACAGCCACATGGCTGTTCTGCTTCTTCACTGGAGCTAGGTCAGATCTATCAATGGCCAATATAAATATGAATCTATGGGTGCACACCTCTGCAGACATGAATTTACATCTGGATTCATCCCTTTTACAGGCTTATGGAAGATGCTTATGTTAGAAGCCGGATTGCCAGAGTTCCTCTCTACTCAACTGATGGTGAGAAAGTTCAAGCTTTGGGCAGATGAAACCCCAGCTAAGTGAATGTCTCCTCAGACAGAGTTGTTCTCAAGGGGTGCCAGAAGTTAACAGGGATGGACCTAGATACTTGTATATGAGAACATTATAAGTTGAGATGTGTCCATTCTGTCTGGCCACTCTCCAGTTTCAGTTATCTAGTAACAGCTGGTGGCCCTCAAACCCCACCACATTTGCCCTGAGCGTTTCTTGCCTCCTGACTCTTGCTGTGGCCATGGGGAAGGGATGCCCTTGCAGGGTGCCCCCACCCTGAGATGTTTTGTTCAGCACAAATTAAATTAAGCAGGCATCCTTCAAAAGGCACTGCCAGGTACTTGTCATTTTTATTGTGGGCAGCCTCCGTTGTGCCAATGCCTTTACAGGTGAAATGATGTTAGTCTTTTCCTCTTAGTGTTTCTGACAGGAATTTTGAACAGGTTGGAATTAATGCAATGAACATCGTGTATTAACAACTGTTAGCTTTAGCCTAGCTAAATGATCAATTGTATGTATTTGCACTGTTGCATCCCTTCATGTTGAAGTAGCCTGGGAAAATTAATTTATTTTACTCCTTATTGATTAGTTTAAAAGGTTTTTTGCTAACCCTGTGCTCTGGAAAAGATATAAACCTAGTTATTTTGAAAAGCTAATGGAATTTTTCAAATTGTAATGGACACATCCAATTGCCATCATGTTTAAGGACTATTTCCCTCACATCCAATTGTCCAAGTGATCAACACACAGAGCACACACACTCTGATGTTTATTATCTAGAGGAGAGAGGGAAATAAAAAATAACCTCCTGTTGCCTTTTAATTGCTCATTTCCTGCTTAAGACAGCAAATGCCATTTTGCTGCTATAGGGTAGATAAATGGGTGGGATGGTTTTGCACTCCATTAAAGCAGCAGTGCTTTGATTAATTATTACAGAAGCAAACTGAAAAAATAATTATTAGGAAAGTAAGCTAGAGGTAGCATTATTTTCTTAAGCAAGTAATAAATGCAGATGATTTCCTCCAAATGCATAAAGGTTCCAAAGTCAGAAAACATGGCACTAATTGATTCAATTCTTATGTGCTGCCTGCTGAGCAGATGGGTTTATACTTGTGCTTCAAACCAGAGGCTTGGGAACTAAGTGGATAAAAGCTCTGGCCTTTCACCTCAGGTGCAGCTTTGGTTTAATGACAATGTGGGGCTTGTTCAGACTCAACAGTTCGGACTCTTTATGTACGGAATTTCATTCCTGACTTCTTATTTACATACCATTTATACTTAATTTCCTTTAAAATTTTTGTTTCTCTACAGTTTATGTGGGCTTGTTAAACGCCTGAGCTTTGATTGAGGGCAAAACATCTAATCTAGACGCTGAGAATTCAGCTCCAGGATGGTGCAAATATCCCATAGAAAAACTAATGACGTGGCACAAATTATCTCCCTGAGGTGGACAAAGGCTGGGAGCAGTGGAAGCAGACAGACCACGAATCCCAGCGGTACCTGAGTGCTGCTGTTGAAGATGCTGTGGTAGTGCTTGGGGAACCATCACCCAGGAGTACCCAGCCTGTAAATCCATCTGCTGGACACGGATCTGAGCATTTGACAGCTGGGTGAAGTGGGGAGGGGGTGTCTGTGGTGTGTGGTCCCTGAATGATGGAGCCCCAGGTGCTAGATGAATGCTGGGGAACCCCACTGCTGCCTGGATGTGGACCAGGGACACGGCCCCGCTTTCCCACCTGGGAGAAGAGCAGACATCAGTCTGTATCAGCGAGGAGAAACCTATCTGAAAATTTCCCTATCAGAGGTGAAACTCACCTTCGAACAACAAAGCCACCCCTTCCAGGGGAAGGAAAAGCAAAGAAACCTAGTTTTCACTGACCTGCTATGAGGAGATGTCTATGCGAAGCTGCGGCTGTAGAACTGCTGTGGTGCAAACAGTTCTCCCAGAATAAAGGTCTTTGGCTCAAATCAGCTCCTTCATTGCACTGAGGAGGGTGGCTGTCAGGAGGAGGCATTAGTGAGTGCTAGCAGGGCACTACCAACCAGCTTTTCTTACAACTCTAGGCACCTTTCACCTGGAGACGAATGAACATTTTTAGCTCTCCGCATGCTGTTTGTGGATTGTCACACACAAAAAAAATAAGTAAACCTCTTACAACTAATTAACAGCTACCACTTATAAAAGTTCTTTGAGTATCAATACGAACTGCTGCTCCACTCATCTCAGTGTGCAGCGTTTGCACGTTATCAAGGCAGAGAATGAAGCGAGTGGGAGTCGGGCGCAGGGAGCTCAATCAGGCTCCGTGGGCTGAACGCGGTCCTCGGCGCAGCGCTGGATCTCACGCTTAATAAATAATTGTGACAGATGTTGAGAAATCTGAAAGCTCGTATTTTAATGTGGTGCTAAATTCAAGTAGACATGTCTACAGAATAAAAAATGAGAGAATTTAGACTAAGCCAGTCTAAATGTGCTGAAATTTCATCATTAAGCATCTATTTAAGCACCTTCGAGTTAATGCTTTCAGGATCAGGAGCCAGAGACGTGTGTGTTTGGTGGTTGTGCAGGCACTGGGACGTGGTGCGGTTCCACGGGGAGCTGATGGGGTGATATGGCAAGAGACCACCAGTACCGAGCTGCTCTGAGTCCCAGGGGGAAAGAGACAGGGCTTGAAACGCATTCAGCCTAACAGAACTGCCTTTTGTCTTTTTTCTCTGCCATTGTAGTATCTGTGCATCAAGCTTTGTGCTTAAGCAAAGCTTAAAGCTGATGGTATATAGGAAAGGCCAGACCCATCCGTTGTTTCCGTGGTAGTTTTTCTGTGATTGCTTATTGCAGCAGAGAACTCAGACTGAAATGTCCCCTGGCCCTGCACGTAACAGGTCTCTCCTGGCAGCAGTGCTCAGGAGAGCAGGTTATTTCTGTCACCTTCCCCAAGCAACCATTGTGGTTAAAACAGGGCATTGTCCCTAGCCAGCATCCCTCATCTCCCATGGAGAAGATAATTAGAAAAGCAATTATTTAAATTGTTTGGAGACCTTCCAGATGAAATACCTACTGCCGGAGAAGAGTGAAGGTGAAGGAATGTTTCCAGAAAACAAACGTCCACACTTCACATATCCAAGGGCTGAATAAGGGGCTTGCCTGGTGACTGATGCTCGCGGAGCCTGACTCACATAAGCTGCATGGACTGGAGTCAGCGGGGTTACTTAAACCTCAGTCTGCAAAGGGCTGGGTGATAAATTTCAGACCCTGATTTGGCTACGGGAATAAGCCAGAAATGTAGGTAAGGTCACAGACTGTACTTCATTTCATATTTCTGGTGTTAGCACTGCAATCAGCACATTAGCAATCTACCCTTCAGAAGTGTTTGGTTTTGTGCTGTCTTGTCTTTGCATTTCTGGGATTGCTCAATCACGTGGAGCTAAATTTTATTTTACTGGAAAGAGACTCTCATTAACTCCAATGAATGGCTTATAAATCCAGCCCAGCTTTACTTTGGTTTTCTTGCACTGGGGCAAATTCTGTGCTGATCAGCCCCTGTTCAGTCACAAGGGTGTAAGTGGTTGCACAGCAAGTCCATGTAGAGTGATTTGAGCTGAAATCAAGTCAGTCTCTAGAGAGGGCAGCTGAGAACCTGTGCAGAAGACAATCTAAAATTCCTTGCACCATCTTAATAAAACAGTGTCTAAGTTCCTTGAAATTTTAAGTAATCCTTTAGCCCATTGGACAGTTGGGGGAATTTTTGGTGGTTTCCCTGGACCCAGGCTAGCACAGGATTGGGAAAGGGGAGGATTTCCAAGGTGGTGGAAGAGCTTCTGTTTCTTGCTGTGGGGTGAGCCAGCCCTGTCCGTCCCTCCTGAAGACCTTTGGCTTGTTTCTTCACAATGCCCTGGAAATGGAGATGACTCAGGAAGGGTATTAAGGGCATGAGAATACTTAAAATCTTATAAACATTTAACTCAAATGTACGGTCGTTTTTACGGTTTGTTAGTGTTAAGCTAAGCTCCGTATGTGTATTGTGTTTGAAGGTCTATTGCAAAGCCCCTGTGTTAACACTAATCCCCTCAGGATCTCTCTTTAGCAGAGGGATCTGCTGACAGCTCGGAACAAAGTTAAGCAAATTGCCCTAAACAGGGTTATCTACTGAAGGGAGCAGGGAGGGCAAAATCAGGCTGGGGTTTTACATCTGTAAACAAAAGGCTCCCCCAGCCCGGAGGGTTTGAAGCTGGGAAGGTCCCCTCTGACACATGCAGCCGTAATTCCAGCCGCTTCTTCCTTGCAGGCTGGAACAATGGGAATATTGAGGCTCAACAACCCATCGGGAGGTTTCAAGCACCATTTGCTACTCTTGTTTACAGTCCTGTCTGTTTTAAAATCAGATCTCTTAGCCAAACAAAGTGACAAAAAGAGTCAGATCAACAAACAGGATTAGTCTTCTGGTAGGGGTGTGTAAGCACTTTGTCAAACAAAAAAAAAGATGTTGAACATTCAAACTGGAGAACACCCAAAATGGTCTGTTTACCTTCATAAGCACTGCATTTATAGGTCTGTAATTGAAAGTTTCCAACCACTAAGGCTGAGAGGAGTCAGAGCTAGGGATGGGAGATGGACATCAGAGGGATGGACTCAGCAGCAGATCACGGGGCTGACGAGGGGATTTAGGAGAGGCTCCCCTTTCCCACCATGCAAGTGAACACTCCCGTAAGGATGTGACACACACAGCTTTGTCTCATTCACAGGAGCACTGCTGTCACTTTTCACGCATGCCTTGGTCTGCACTGTAAAGAGCAGTGAATTTGAGAGGAATTGGTCACTTTGGCCCAGATCCAACAATATCCCAACAATGAGGACAAAGCAAGAAGAATTCAAGGACTTGGTCAGCAGCTGGTGGAAATTGTTGCAATTCCACCGGCTTCCACTGAGTTACCCCAAATTATAAATACTGAGTCCTGCGAGAGTTTCAAGCAATGGGGACTATGGCCTAATGCCACCTTATTGATACGTCTGCCACTGTTTTGTTCTTAACCCAATTAACAGATAAGCATTTGGTCTCAGTTGTGGTGTGGGATCAAAATTTCTTCTGAAGTAAGTGAGAAACCACCAGCTTTAAAAGCAGCTCTTTTTATCACCAGGCAGGACTGCAACCCTGTCTCCAAACCCCTCATGAACTGAAGCCTCTCCTGATGTGTTTAGCTGTTGCTCACAACCACTAGGTACAGGAATAAATGGGATATTATTTACCTGAGTTGTTAGTTGGAGGATTTACATAAGTATCAGAGAGAGGATTTTCAGCTGGTTTGAGAGCAAAGTCGGCTGCAGACTTTGCTGGAGGCAGAAAGCAGCGCTGCCCAGCTTCCTCGCCCGCTGGCACGAATACTGTGTAACCAAAACCACAAATGCTGTAATAATGATATAGCCAGTGCTGAAGTTCAACACTCCACCCTGCTGCCTGCAGCTGTGTTCCTGTCGTGTTCGCTGGCCCGGGGAGCACTGTGACCCGCACGCAGCTCAGCCCTGCGCACGCTGGCAGCCAGCAGAGACCTGCTTGAAGTTCAGGGCTGGAGGGGGAGGAAGAGCGATCCCTCTTCATCCTCCTCTCCCGCACACGTCAGTGCGAGCCATGGGGTTTGCAAGCACTGCCCTCCGCGTCTAACTCTCCCTCCCAGCTTCTCAAATCAGTAAGTATCTGCCAGGCTGCTGCAAACATCAATTTTAAATCTAATGTTTGGAGTTGCAGCGCATTAAAGAGGGGGGGTTGTCATTTGAGTGAGAGTCAAACCGGTCTAGGGTGTCTTGCACAGAGAAACAGCCAGGGAGAGCAGGAACCCCAAACAACGCAGGTCCCTGCAGGGCTGGAGCCAGGGAGACCGCAGCCGGTGGCCTCGGTGGAGCAGAGCAGGGACACCGCGTTGCCAAGCCCGGCACAGGCAGCCCCCCAAGCAGGGCTGGAGCAGCCAGCACATGAGAAGGTCTCAGCTGAGGTCGGCACCAGCTGCCCACCCTCACCAGCTGGCACTGTCTTCTCTCCCTTTTCCCCCCTCAAAAGCACTGACGTGCGCTCACACTTTGCTTTTCAGCCCAGTGGCAGCAGCTGCTGCCCCATTCTGTGCTAGCCCGGAGGTTGGAGCCGCCACCCAGGATGTGGGAGACCCCGATGAAAACCTCTTTTCAACCCAAAGAGAAGCAAGGGTTCACAGCCCTCTGACAGAGCCGCCCATGAGGGCAGGGCTGTGGGGCTGTGCCGGGGGAATGGACTACGGCGTTGGGTGGTGGGGATGCAGAAGGGAGCAGGATGGCTCTAAGCACAGCATCTGCTGAGCTTCTGCTCCTGTGGCAGTTTGAAGTCAATAACGCCTTCTCCTCCCTGCCCCAAAAGAGCTCAAGATGAAAAGCAACATGCTTGCTTGAGGAGCAATAGTTATAACTGCATGCTTCGTCTCACATCAGTTCTGTTTCCTACCCAAAAGCACCACGTAACTGCTGGAGAGAGGTGCTGGGCTAAAAATCTCAGGCAATGTGACCTGTGCCTTGTTTTCTCATACCCTTCCTGCATCACCCGTTCTCCTGCACTCCTCTCTCCTGCCCCTGCGGAGTGGGACAGAGAGGGACGGATGGATGGATGCTGGCACACAGCCCGGCTGCTGTGACACCCACAACGGGCATCCCCCAGGGGCCACAATGCTGCAAACAGCAACATGTGAGGAAAAATACACTGCTTTTAACCAGCAACCTGGGCACAAAGGAAACCTCGTACCTACTGCTGGATGTAAAATATCTCCAAGGCAACGGTGCAGAGCGGAAGAAGCTGCGTTACATTCAGTGGTATCGGTTGAATGGGCTCTCCACGATGTGGGTGACGGGCAGGATGCTCTCTGGCAGGTCAGCACTAACAGCCTGCGTGTAGCCTGCTGAGTATTTTCAGCACTGCATTGCTATGGGTGTTCTTGCGCTTATTTTATACATCTCTGCCTTTCTCAAATTTAGGTTGGGTGTGGAATTGTTTTTAGGTTCGGTTATATTTAAAAATGAACACAAGACCCCACAAAACCAGCTGCTGCTCTTCATTCAGAGCTGGAAGTTGGTGAACCAAAAACGAAGGTCCAGTTTTAAACAATATTCAACACTCTTTGAACTGAAGAGCTAAATCTGTTTAGTTTAACAGAAAGATAACTACAGCAATTTGATTACAGCTTATGAACACCTATAAGGAGAACAGACAAGTGCTAGTTTTAGGTCCCTCCAAGCCTAGCAGACATGCTTTAAGATCCAGTGACTGCAGGTTGAAGCTGTGTAATGGCAGAGCGGTGTGAATGCGCAGAGCCAGGATAACCACAGTTTGGAACAGTTTCCTGAAAACTAGAAGGAGCCTCCTACCCCTAGTGTTTTTTTTAAAAACAAGATAGTTTTTTTTCCTGCATGAGATGCTGCAGGCAGGCAGGAATGTGGCTGGGGGAGTGCTGCAGTTTATAGTATAGAGAAGTTCATATCGGAAAATTACAGTGATTTCTTCTGGGCTTGGATTCTTTGAATGTAGACTGTAAGTCTACAGCAAGTAGAGCCTGTGAAATGCAACCCAGAATACCTGAGGTATCATAGGAAAAATAAGCCAAGTAATTATTGAAAATTACAGAACACAGTGTCATATGCTATTTATTGTCGAGATAAGCCATTTAACAGCTCACATCCTGCATGGAGGCTTGGATCAACTTTGCTCTGTCTTGTGCAAGATGTAATGAATCATGTCCCCGGTCAGGAAGGTGTTTTACCATCACCACAGAGAAAACACATGTTTGAATCAGCAACAAATCCCTGAGGTCTGAGCAATCAGTCAAAGAGTCTTCTCAGATTGAAATCCAAGGAGGTGAAAAGGCTTCACCAGTCCCCTCAGACCTGCACAGAGGGTGCTGCTGCAGTTTTACTGCAACCCAAGCTGCCCCGGCCCGAACCAGCTTCCCCTCCACTCTCCTTGGGATGTCCCGAGTCTGGGTGAGCTTCAGGGACAGGAGAAGGGCGATGGCTGGGCAAGGATGGACCCATTCGCTTTGCAATGGTCCCTCACGACAAGAAAGACACTGAGGGGCCGGAGCATGTCCAGAGAAGGGCAGCTGGTGAGGGGTCTGGAGAACAAGTCTGATGAGGAATGGCTGAGGGAGCTGGGGGTGTTCAGCCTGGAGAAAAGGAGGCTGAGGGGAGACCTTATCACTCTCTACAACCACCTGAAAGGAGGGTGTAGCGAGGGGAGGGGGGTCGGTCTCTTCTCCCAAGTATCAGGCGATCGGACAAGAGGAAATGGCCTCAAGTTGGGCCAGGTGAAGTTTGGAT